AATTTACACATCCATGCATCCGAAAATACAGGTAAATGGATATTTTTTAGAGAATACCTGAAAACACATGCATCCACGTATTTAACGAACGCGGGTATAAACGACGGATACATTTTAAGTTATACCAGAATTCGTTAAATACGCGCATACACGTGTTTTCAGTTAACGAACTCTTTTCTTTATATTGCGCGTTTACTACAAGTAATGTCCATCATATCTTTAATATCCCCCTTTTTAATTGTCTCCTTTGGGCTGCGTGCCTAAAATAACTATTGCCCAACAGAGTTTCTGGGTTCCAGTTCTGGGGTGTCATGGATGTTTGTAGTGGTTCGAATCCACTTTTAAACCGTAGGTACCGGTCTCATACGACTGTAGAGCGTTGGGCGTAAGTGGTTGACAACTTTACCTCATAAAAAGAAAACGTCTCAAGTTTCGAATATGCCAGTAGGCAAATGCCTTGCCACCATGGGCTGTTGTGCGAAGGAATTAAGTTTTTAAGAATCACATATACGATTCTATGTCTTCAAATTCAGTTACGGCTTCAAAATACCGTACGGAACTTCTGAATAACATGATAAAATTAAATCATTCATAAATAAGCAGAATGAAAAAAATCCGAAAATTGAAAACAGATTTCGTAAATTAAATTTACACAACAAATTCTTTTCGAAGCATTGATATTTTCCGACGAGCTTCATTTCAGAAAAATATTTTCCCTCTGCCATTTACGCACATATATTTTCTTTTTTTCTTTTTAATACGTTCCATTAGATATTCGTTCAGGCGTTGTTTCGGTAGAAAGCAATTTTTTTTGTTACATTTCATTTTTTTTATACGCTATGATAAGTTTAAAAAAGCGTGGGCTATTGGATGAAAAAAGCATCAAATCAAAATAAACATTTTTTTTTTCTTATAGAAATTCTTCAGATGATGTTTTTTGTGAAAATAGCAAGAAATGCTCGAGAGGTCAAACCTCTAATGATTTTAGCCTCCTTTTTACGAAAAAGCGAATAGAAGTTTTTGGAATTCTTTTTGTAGAAAATATTTGATAATATCAAAAAAAGGATAGTAATTTCTTGACTTTGTTGTATCAATTCAAAGTTGCGAGTCAAACATGATTATTATTTCATAACATATTTTAATGTTTCAGAGAAAGGATATTAAATTACTACAGCTAAATTTATTTAGAGATGTAGTGAGAAAACTTTAATTCCATTATTTTTATAGTGAAGTCGGAAAATATGTGAGTTATTTGACGATCCTCATTTTCAGAATTTTTTGAAGTATTTTATAAATAAATATGCAATACAATTGCAAATAATATCGAAATTGAAAATACAATACTGAGAATTGAGTGAATTTTTTTCTAATATGCAATTTAGTTCTTTTTATAAGCAGAAGTGATGTTTTTATATATTTAATAAATTATAGCATAATAAATGAAAATGGTAGCAAATGTAATACTAAAAGGATATTTATTGTTCAAAATATAGAGCATTTTAACCGATGATTGATGTCATTTTAAAAAATACAACCGCAGATATAGGTAAAATAAGATTTATCCCGATTAGCCGAGGGAAAGACTATACTGCCCTACTATCATAGCAATTTAAATGATAAGTCCCCAAGAGTTGCATCTGAGGAAAGAGAGCAGTTCGTGTTTCCCTCATACCCAGTTGACATACTTTTCCGCTCACAAGATTAGAAACTTACCATTTTCAACATATAATCGCAATTTTCTATTCATTCCTTGGATAAAGATCTGTCAGCGCCTTTTGTATGCACACACACACATTATACATTATGCGCACAAGCACACATTATACATTATGCGCAATAAACACACATTATACATTATGCGCACAAACACACGTTATATATACACTGAAGTGACAAAAGTCATGGGATACCAACATGCAAATTTTCAGATGGCAGTAGCATCGCGTAGAACAGGTATAAATGCGCAGTGTTTTCAAGAGCTTTCATTTCTGTTCCAAGTTATTCATGTGAAGAGGTTTTGACGTGATGATGACCACATGACGGAATTAACAGACTTTGAACGCGGAATGTTGGTTGGAGCTAGACGCATGGGTCAAGTGCCATTTTCGGAAATCGTTAGGGAATTCAACATTCCCAGATCCACTGTGTCAAGAGTGTGCCGAGAGTATGAAATTTCAGGCATAACATCCCACCATGGACAGAGCAGTGGTCGACCGCCTGCACTTAACGGCCGGGCCGGCGACGTCTGCAAAAGAGTCGTAAATTCTAACAGACAAGCAACACTGCGTCAAATAACCGCAGAAATCATGTGGGACGTACAAAGGGACTTGTCTGTTAGAACTGTGCCCGATTGAAGCTGGGCTATTCCAGCAGAAGACCGACTCGAGTGCCTTTACTGACAGAACGACATCTCTTGCAGCGACTCGTGGGCACGTGAGAGCATATCGGTTGGTCCTTTTAAATGAATGGAAAACCGTGGCCTGGTCCGATGAGTCACGATTTCAGTTGGTAAGAGCTGATGGTAGGGTTCGAGGTGCGGCGCAGACCCCACGAAGCCATGGACCCAAACTGTCAGCATGGCACTGTTTAAGCTGGTGGTGGCTCCGTAATGGTGTGGGCTGTTTTTTTCATGGCATGGACTTGGTTTCTGGTGCGACTGGACCGAACATTGACTGGAAATGCTTGTTTAGCTACTTGGAGAACACCTGCAGCCATTCATGGACTTCATGTACCCAAACAACGATGGGATTTTTTATGGATGACAATGCGCCATGTCACCGGGCCACAACTGTTCGCGATTGGTTTTGAAGAACATTCTGGACAATTCCAACGTTGAATGATCTGGTCACCTAGATCGCCCGACATGAATATCGATCGATCATTTATGGGATATCATCGAGAGGTCTGTTCGTGCCCAAAATCCTGCACCATCAACGCTTTCACAATTATGGACGTCTATCGAGACAGCATGGCTCAATATTCTGCAGAAGACTTCCAACGACTTGTTGAGTCCATGCCACGTCGAGTTGCTGCACTTCGTCGGGCGAAAAGGAGGGCCGACACTATATTAAGGGTATCCTTATGACTTTTGTCACTTCAGTGTAAATATATAATATATATCTGCCACAGTGACACACGGAAAGGTCAAATAGGTGACATGTTTAAATAATAAACTTTGAAAATTAAATTATACTTTTTAAAATTAGTTATATTTTTCATCCAATAGGTAAAATTGATACTACCCTTAAGGTAGTATTTCAAAAAATGTGAATGCAAAACGTGACTGCAATGTAGTAAATTGTCTTTGGCAATTCAACCTGGATAACGTAAATTTATTACAGATTAGCAGTTCTAGAAAAATTTTTCAGATCAAAAATACAATGCAATACAATTCGCTCATTAAAGAACTGCAATCAAATAATAAGATTTTGTGATAAAGTCAATACATGATTAATGTGTAGAATTGGATCCCATTTACCAATTTGTTAATCGAGTGCCTCATAAATTATATGCTACACAAAAATTTCGACAGGAAAATAAATTCTGTCAACAAAGGATTTTTTATGAAATAATTAATGCAAAATATACTTTTTGACTACATAAACTTTGTAAAATCACCTATAATGCCCATGCTATATTCATATTAAGGAATTATGTGCCATTAAATTTCTTTTCTATGTATCCCAGAAGGCATCTGCAGCGTTTTAAATCCCTCACATTGTTATCCCTTGTCCTTGTGTTCTCAAGATTCAATTTAATACAGAAGCCTCAAACTTAATTTAACTGGATTTAGAGAGTTCTTAGAAATTGGGTTTTACAGGTTGTATGAGTACAAAGGGGTTGCAGGTTCATTTATTCTGCCCTTCGGTGGGTCCACCCTATGCTTGAGTAGGTTCATAGGTAAATCTTAAGTAATACTTGCTTTAGCAGTTAGCAGGCAGAATGCGATTCCGCGTGTGACAAATAAAGGACCCAGTTGGACATGGTACCATTCACGAATAGCCAACAATCTCATGTTTTTCTTAGATGTAAGTAAAAGGTTCTGCATGGAGAATACTCACTGAAGCTGTATTTGCAACAATTCCATTATATAATTGAATAAAGGTATGAAGCGTAATTGCTACACTTAAAAAACTTTTAAAACCCACAATACGGCTTAAAACATATCGTGATTTGGGAATGGCCTAATGCCCGAGTGACTAGCGCTCTGGTGCTCGATGGCCACAGGTTTCGGGTTCAAGCCCTGGCTGTTTCAGGGATATTTGTGGTTCTGATTCGTATTTAAATCGGTTTCGGTCTAATATGACTGTAGAGCGTTGGGCGTAGGGCTGACAACAGTATCCCTTAAAAAGTCAGACTTCTACCAACGGGTGTTCCAACACAATCGAAGCTGTCTCCCCTTTCTTTCAATCATGAGATCACATGGGTTCTTGGATGTGGTCTAGATGTTGTTGCTACCAAGTGGGATAAGAAACAACACATGTTTAAGAAACTAATAATATTAAAAACTACTTATAAAAGTATAAAACTCAATCTCGTAATCGTTCAGCTATTGATTAATTTTGTATCTTGATTATTTTCCTGAAAAATTAATTTATTACTTTGTTTTCCTAATTCCTTTTCCCATTAAATGTTTTAAGTTTTTCACTATACTACCGTTAACAAATATTTAAAAACATATAAAATATTACGTGATTAGTTAATTTTTCATAAAAAGTGTTGTTGTTTCTTATCCCACATGGCTGGCCAAGCCCACAAGCCCATATGGACTCATGATTGAAGGGGAAGGAAGCAGCTTCTGTTGTGATGGAGCACCCGTAGGTAGAAGCCTGACTTTTGCTCCGTGACGCTCTTACAGTCATAGAAGACCGGGACCTACGGCTTAAAGTGGATTCCGAACCACTACAAACATCCATGGCACCGCCGGGATTCGAACCCGAAACCTGTGGCACCGAGCGCCAGAGCGCTAGACACTCGGCCATTCAGGTCCCAAATTTGCCAACGGCACGCGGTGTTCCCAGGTGGTCACCCACCCAAGTACTGACTGCGCCCAATGATGCTTAACTTCGGTGATCTAACGAGAACCGGTATATTCAGCATGGTACGGCCGTTGGCTCATAAAAAGTATAAAGTATGTTCAAATTTGGAATGTATCTAAAATATTATGTGTAGTGTTTGGAATGTATGTATGTATAAATGTATCTCTATGTATGAATGTATGAATGTATCTCTAATGCTTGTATCTAAAATTTGGAATGTTTTTAGTTACTTCAATAATTTGTTTGAATACAATAATGAAAATCCGCGGCTGGCAATCGTCTGTCTAACTTTGATGCGGAAATATCCGCAGTCCGCTTTTTGGCAGTGGAAAACGGTAAATCTAAAAATTCATTCTTTTACAAACGCAATCATTCTGGTGGATCCTAGATCCGCCATTGAAGCTAGAGAAAACAGTGTGAGTCTGCAATTGATAAAAAAGACTTAGTGTGAGTCTGCAATTGTAAATGGAAATAAAACAAGATATCAAATACCTTAATGAAAATGGTAAATGCATCCCTTTCCAGTGGATTCCATCACATGTTGTAATTGATGGAAAATAAAAATTACGGATTTCCAGTGGATTCCAAATAAAGTAACAAATAAAGTAACAGAATAAGTTCACCTATCCTTCTTGACTCTTTTTAGAAGAACGGGACAAAATTAATTCATCGTATATTAGTGAATTATAGGGCCTGAATGGTCGAGTGGCTAGCGCTCTGGCACTCGGTACCACAGGTTTCGGGTTCGAGTCCCGGCGGTGCCATGGTTGTTTGTAGTGGTTCGGAATCCACTTTAAAAAGTAGGTCCCGGTCTAATAGGATTGAAGAGCGTTGCAGGGGCATTGTTACTCCGCGTCCGTGACTTATCTTCAAGTTACACCCGCCCCTGGGTAATGCAAAGTGAGTACGTCTGTGCAGCACTTGCCTTAAGGCATCTAAGACCAAGCTGTCTGTGTTTGCCAGCTGCATTAGAAAGAAAAAAAAATTAGTGAATTATTATCTAACACAAAAGGAAAAGTCTGGGTGACAGTCGGGGATGACTGCAATATATTGAATGGAAAAACTCGCAAAAGAAGTTGTTGCCAATTTTAGATTAAGAACTGGGAGGCCAGATGACCGGTGACTAGCACACTAGAACTCTGTACCATAGATTGGCGAACAAAGAGTTTCCGAGTCCCATGCTCGGTGCCATGGATTTTTTGTAATGGTTCGGAATCCACTTTAAACAATAAGGCCCTGTCTAATATGATCGTAGAGCGTTTTGGGGGTAGTCTCGCATCCATATAGCATATCTTCAAGCCACACACCTGTCCCCGGTGCAGCCCAATTTGAGTTGCTCACAGGGACATGGTCAATACGACCCAGTCCTTAACGCAATTAAAAAAGTAGATTAAGAACTGGACATGTTTGCTTAGATGAACATCTGGCCAAAATAAGGATTGTGAACTCTAGCGTATGTTTATGTAAGACAGAGAAAAATGCAAGTCCATCTACTTGTTTGCTCTGGCCTGACTCTCCAACTTAACAATAGAATTGTGATTTGTGCACTCTTTACTGGAGGGCCAGAGAAAACATATCGCGATCACACGGACTTTTTATTAGGCTGCTCCTAGCGTTTTTCAATTTTACCTCAAAACATTTAAATGATTTTTACTAGTTTCCCGCGACTTTGGTTATTTTTTGTTAAGAATGCCTGATCCTTTTTAACTTTGTAATTTTTGATTTGTTTATATGTTCTTTTCTTTCTACGATAAATGGCCAAATTTGTAGGAATTGAGTTCCAATAAGGCCATAGGTAACAACAATAATGACTATTATTATTAATATAATATAATATAATATAACTTAATTTATTAGATGAAATAATTATTTATCCAATTAAACTAAAATATCAGTTTGCATTTCTTTTAATTATCGTCAAATTGGATAACTAGTTAAAAACCGTGACACTTTTATCCATTTTAAGAGACAGATCGTAAAAAGTACGAGTAAGATTGATGCCATCAGTATTGTTAAAGCATCAACTTCAGAAATTCTTTATCCCAATTTTAGTATATTTTTTCTTCGTAAGCTACAAAAAACAAGCGATGCCTTTAAGTTGTATGTTAACTGTCTTTTCATCTTTTATGATTTTTTTTTCCTAACACATAAGGATTGTGTAAGTTTTTAATTTAATTTATTTTTGAAGTGTAAAGCAACGTAACTGATATCGTTTCTGAAAGTGGAATTATGTATTCCATAATAATTTTTTATTTAAGAAAATTGAAACTTTTATTTTTATAAATTTTTCAATTATTTGTATTTAATTTCTTGGTATCAACAAATAATAAATTGTTCTTTTTCGATATCTTTAGAATATGCAGATATAATTCTTTATTTCAGCCATTCATCAATATCATTCATTGAAAGTTGCTTCTTAATTAATGTAAATCATAATATACAGTTATGAAAGAATATTTTAATATGAAAACAGCAATGTATTGCAAATGCTTTTTCATGTACACTTCAGTTTTCGCTAAATAATATTTCGAATATTCATTAATTTAAAAATATTTCTAATTTATGAACTATTTAATTTAATTTTAATTTTCAAGATTTAATGTTGTTTCCATCCAACTTTTAATAATTTCTCCTTTAAATAGCATAATTTAGGATCTTTGCAATTTTTTTCCGATAAACATTGATGCCATCATAAGTTGGCACTGAATATAAATATTATTAAATATTAGCAAAATCTTTTTATCTACAATTATAACCATGTTTCCTCCTACACAGTGGCCAGTATATATATATACTATGGAAATATTTTTTTTCCTTATGTATTAGACAATGGGTTAAACTAGTAATTAAATTAAACTGAATTCTGAATTCTTCTTAATCCTAGGCAGTTATCAGAAAAATTAATTTCATAACAATTGCTCTATTGTACTATTAAATTATTATTACTATATTTTTTTTACTAAATAAGAGTTTATATTGTCCTCTTAAAATTGCAAGAACAATACTTTCTTTTTTAAACTTAACAATTTACCAATTTTACCTCCTACAATAAACAGATGGTATAAAATACTTTCCTGTCTGTGTAAATATTTTATGGAACAAATATTTACCCTTATAAATAAATTATTATAAAAAGTGTACAGTAAATAAACTTTGATAGTCTATGAAATAGTTTAAAGTGTTCTTTGTTTATCTTTTCTGGAATTCAATTGAATGAGTAGGATGCGCGTAGGTGTGCTAAGAAAGGCGGATAAAAGACCTTACAGGTAAATGTTTTGAAATTCCTGCTATAATGTTTTAAAAATATATTAAAATTGCAGTAAAAAAGATAATACAGGAATAAAATCTTTTTTAACTGTGTTTAAAATTTCTACGTGCATAAAGAATTAATACACGAATTTCGATGCAATTTTTTTACAAATAGTTTTTCAAATCGTGGCACTATTTAAATAAAGCGATACGCATGCTAAAAATAAATTTTTTAAGTGAAATTAAGTATGCATGACGCACCTACTAGAATAATAAAACATTTATAAATTTAAAACTGTAGAAATCTTCAATGGTAGCAATTGCACGTTAAATGTTCAAATAAGTAGCAAAACTTCTTTTCATGGAGATGTATGCAAAGCATTCATCTATGAATGGAGCAATGGAAATAAAATCTCATACATTCTACTAGGACTCTTAAATTGTTATTCCATATCTACAACATTTTAGGGTACCTCAATGTAATAGATTAATAAGAATCATACATTGAATTTGTGAAAAGTCCTTGTAAAAGAAGAGGGACAACAGAAAAGATACATTGTGATATGCCGGAGATAAGGGGCATGGTATTTTATATTTGGAAACGGTCATTGTGATGACTGAAAATGAAGGATAAAGCAAAGGGGAGTGAAATATTCTTAAAATATTGTTGAAGTGCTAAAATTGTAGAATTGCTAAGCGGAATCTGTTGTTAAAGCAGCCTGGATCATAAGACTAGAGACATTTTGACTATGTAAAGGAAAACCTGATTCAACATGCTAGAAGCACACACCTCAACACACATAACTGATGTTTATCAACTCCAGAACTAAAATGTGATTCAAAGCTGCACACTATGCAATACCAATTTATTGTCATCCGTAAGGATAGACCACGACACCTCTATTGATGTTGTAGATTAACGACAGACGTGTTAAAATCTTTATCCACATCACAATCAAGCGCAGTGCGATGACAGAAGATAACATGGAAAGTATGGAAGAACATGCAATATATTAGATAGTGTCAATAATGGCAATGTGGTAGCTCCATTATGTGGGACAATAATGAATTTTTGACTTTTAGATTCATTTAGAGGATGAGTTCAATAAAAAAATCACTGCTTGCTGCAACTTTACACATCAGTTATATATGGTACAAGCGATCGCTTATTGCTTGGTATGGCCTGCCTTTTTCATGCATTCCAACTTTGAGACAACGTTCAGAATCATTCCATTGGATACAATTTAACTGCATTATCTATGGTTTCTATAGAGATCTACAATGCCGAAAATGAGTTCATGTAAACTGTCTACAATAGTTTCCCGTTTCTCATGATGCTAAGTTAACTATGATCAAAGTTAAATATCATGTGTGGTAACAACACGGATTTTGGATTTAACAAGGATTTTGGTTTGAAGAAGCTTTCATGTAAAATTTTAAATGGTATGATTATTATTATTTTAGGAGTGGTTTTTTTATTGTAAAATATTTGATTAACAGCATTTAATATATAATAATTTTTTTGGAAGGATAGCAATTTTTTTCCCATTAAATAAAATACTCCTAATTTAATGAATCAAATTTATTTGATTCGTTTAGTTAAAATTTGGTGCAACCTGGTAGTGAGCATGTTAGGACTCCTAATCGATTGTACCCACCTTTTTACTAGAAGTGACGAAACAAAGAATTAACGTATCTCTAATCTAGAGTTTCGTAATAAATCCATTTACCGAGAAAATATTTAGTTGGTCTGGAGGAGGGAGACGGAATGCGATAGCGAACTAACAACTTCCATGGGTATGCTAATGATGAGAACAATAAATT